GTAATTGTGTCCAATGTGTATTAGAGAAAAACATTTATTTCATAATGATATTTCCCCCCATTTTAAATTCTTATGCTCCAATGAAAGGTTAGATTTTTGTGCATTTTTTAAATAAAAGATCAAAAGGATTAACAATGCAGATTTATTTTCATAGCCTTCTTTGAACATATTTACCAAGGGTACCAACAATTCTGACCACGTGTGTGTATATATATTTATATAAAAAACACTCTAGTACAGTATTTTATTTTAACCTTCAAGTGAGTTTCTATTTGTTAAATACTTAAAATGTTAAAAAATTTCAGGCAAGTATAATTGGGTCTTAACTTGAACCCAGACATCGGCATCTTGTAGTTGTGTTGCTATGATTCTTCCTGTTTTTATCTATCCTGTCCAGTGAAGGAGACGAGAGCTGTCATAAACAGTTAGGTAGAGTTCTGTCCATCTGGCAGGAAAGAGCTGTCTATGAGAATGGCATACTGGACAAACTCTCTGATGTCCTACGTAAGTAAACCACCACAAGGTCACACTGATTTCAAAAGTTATTGCGAATACAGTATAGTCGCTCAGAGAGACTCAGTAGTTTGTTTTGATAAGTGTCATGTGAAGTCTTTGTTTAGAGGACGCCTTTGTTGAAGTATAGCATGTAGAATGTCTCCTCATGTTCTCCTTACAGAGGTAGAAAAGAAGGCCAAGAAAAGGCCTTATGAGGAGATTAAGGTGAACGATGATGACTTCGCCTCCCAAAGCTCCCCTGCTGAACCTCCACAGGTATGAAAGAATGGCCTTACATCATGCATATTTACCTATAAACTGACCTCAAGTCAGTTTAGTCTTCCATGTCATGACTTGTTTTGTATATCTTAGACTGCTGATCTGATCCGAGCACTACAGGAGCTTGAGAACGCAGCCTCCAGCGATGCAGCTCTCCGCCAGAGGATCTCTGCTCTACCCCCAGAGGTGCAGGACACCACCCTATTGCACAAAGTTACAGGTGAGAACACCCATGCAACCTTCCTTGTCAGTAGTAAGTAAATGCATCAGAAACAGAATTAAATAATCAAATTTTTAATTGATAATTTGTGGTGTCGGCACATCTAGAGCACAGATTGTAATCGCTCAATTGGAATAGAGCACTAAAACAGATCATATGTAGTTAATCATTCTGACTGTCTATGTCTGTCCGAATGTGTTTTTTCAGATAAAGAGTCAGGGGGGCGTCTTTCTCGGTTGGTGGAAGAGGCCTGCATGCTTCTAGCTGACTACAGTGGGCGGCTGGCAGCAGAGATTGATGATCGGCGGCAACTCACACGCACTCTTGCTGTCTTTTTGCAGAGTCAGAGAGACGGCCTGGCCCAGAACGAGCAGAAACTAGAAGTGGGTAAACTTGCTGACTTCACAGTTTCTTCCCTTTTGTTTTTATCCTCAGTTGCTGTCTCTACATGTCAGTTTCTTTCTCCTCTTCTTTCTTTTTTTATACTTAAGTTCATGTGATTATAGCTGCACATGGTTGCACCATATTTTCACCATATTTGGGTTTGTTCTGCCCATAGAAGGCAGTGAAGTATTTAATATAAAATAATTTCAGCAAATGCAGTCTAGCTATCTCTTTTTTTTTTTTTTATTCCTATGCATGAGACATGCATTACTGGTCTGGTAAGTGTAAACAAACACCAAGTTAAAAGTTACATTCGCACTAACTGCTTCATTTTCCAGCCTTTGCCAACAGGTCGTGAGCAGGTTCCTGTGTTCCACCTGATGTCGCATTTACAGAATAAATAAAAAGAAAAGAAAAAAAAAACACCAATCTCTTGAGTGTGCATCTTTTTTGCTTATGCACTGGCTTTCACAAATACATACTTATTGAGTGAAATAACCTAAGAAACTGGCTGAAACATATTCTCTAACACTTTACTAAAAACTTGTATGCCTTAAAATTAGTTCTACTGTAGTTAACATGATTTAAACAATGAACACCTTTGCAACATCTATTATTCTTGGTTAATATTAAGACTGTTACTTCAAAATGTATTAACTAATGAACAATAGTATGTTTACAAATGATGATTAACAAATGCTTGTAAAAGATTGTTCATTGTTAGTTTATAATGCCAAATGTGTAGAATGTTTATTTAAATTAAATCTTTTAAACACGGTTCATAAACTATAAAGCATAGTATTTATAAGCATAGTTCATGCATTTATATATTGGTTTCAATTTTAAGTTTTCATTTGAACCCCTAAAGTCTGATGGCAAACTCTTAAGGATTAAAAAATGGTTATAGTTGTCCTGTTATTACATCAGTGTAGTCCATATTTCATTTCCGTGTAAGATATTTGCCATGCATAGATTTACATTGTAGTAGAACAAACATTAACCATATAAAAAGGTACAAACTTGTAATTTTTGTAGTTAAATTAGTCATAAAATATGCATCTAACACGTCTATCTGACAGACATTTATTATAGTTAAAAAATATTCTGGTGTAAATGAATGTTTAAATTTAAATCATGATTTGAAACTTTAGTTCTGAGATGCTTTTCTAATTCTTTACAAAAGTAAACAGTCTAGTGCTTAATTAGACTAGGCAGGTTGAAGAGATTTAAAAAGTAACTTTTAAAACTTTACATGTTGGAACACAGTAGCATTCCTATACTTTGTGACAGATGTCAATTAAAATATTAATAGTTTAACAGTTGTTAGGAAACACAAATGTCAAGAACTTAAGCCTTTGACACAATCACAGAGGCTAAATGTATTGATTCTAGAAGCTTAAGGATGTTGACTATGCTGTTTTGCATATATAAATGTTTAAAATGCTTCATATAACAGCGGACAATATTGTTTTAATGTATCTGTGCTCATTGTAAACGGTAACAGTTGATACAAGTTTGAGTGAGATACTGAGAACTGAAACAAAGTGATGTTATAACAGTTTGTATCTGAACTAAATTGAAGTTAATTAGATTTAATAAATTCCAAAAAGAGTTAGACTTGTTGCAGGTCTTAAAGAGCCTTATCTTCTATATATATATATATATATATATATATATATATATATATATAAAGCTAAGGATCTCTGCAGCAACACAAAACAATGGAAACTATACACTGTAAAAAAAAAAAATCAAGGTTGTAAATAAAACCATGATTATTAGAGTACATTTTACAAAAACAAAATACGATTTCAGTTATTTTGCTTCAAAATTTAATTACATGTTAAATTCTATGTATATATTTTTTCATTGTACATTGTTATTTTGCTAATATACTGCCAGATCTATTTTTTGCACTAACTAGCTTGTTTGCATGTTTTTATTTTAGGAATACAAGCGCAAACTGGCCCGGGTGTCCCAGGTACGGAAGGAGCTGCGGTCTCGTCTCAGCGGTCTCCCAGACCTCTCTCGGCTCCCTAATGTTACAGGTGGCCATGTCCGCCTGCCCTCCTCTGGTGATCTTTACAGCCCCTCTGATTGAGCTGGACTCTCACCCCATCACCACTCTCCTGGTCCTCTGGCTGTCAGTCTTTCTTGCTTCATTTTCTAAGAGTTGACACCACCTGGCCACTGTACTAGTGGATGTGTCCAATATGCAGTCCATGGCTGCCTGAGTGTTTCAATGATGAGCACTATCAATTGAATTCATCGTCCCCCTTTGTGATGAAGAAGTATTGTTCAAGTATAGACAATACATCCTCTTTTTCCTGGACATGTCCTGGCTGGGATTTCTAAATTGCCTAAAATGTCTGGGTTTTGGATTTCGTTTGCTATTAACTTGCTGTCATTGTGCAGGCATTGCGCATAATTGACCAGTTGTGGCGTGCAAGAAGTTGCGGGATTGATAATGGTCAGAGCAATGCAAATAAACGTATATATAATTTATGAGGACTGTAAAGAGCATGTTAATAGGAAAACAAAGCCAACATCTGGACATTTAGGTAGTTTAGACATCCCAGCCTGGACATGTTTGGGGAAAAAAAGGACATATGATCAACCAAGTTCAAGTGCATTGGAATCAATGCAGACATTTAAATGACAGTAGTTGTTCTTGAATAACAAGATGAGTCCGTAGAGGAATTTCTGATTTTTCCTCTTTTTATTGCTTTGTTTTGGAAGCTTCCACCAAAAGTTAAAATAGACCTACTCAACAAATAAACATCTGCAATGGTAAATTACTTTACAAATAGACATTATATGGCAGTTTGGTTTGATAATACCCATCTGTTCTTCAGTCTGTAGGTTTCTCTCCAGCTTCTCTCTTACTCATTTGATCAGATCTCCAGATTTGTGGTGATGTTATTTTTGTATTTTTGCAGCGAATATTCATTTCAGTGCAGTATATTATAATCAGCTGCAGTATTTTAGTGCGGCAGTCATATCAACGAAGCCCTTTTCCAAACTGAAGGTTACAAGTGCTGTAGTTAATGTAGTTCTAAGAGCTTTGCAGTGAGCAAAGAGATGTTTTCCCTTTTGGGTTTGTGCTTACCAGCATACATTACTCCAATAGTAGAGTATACCTTATAATATTCAGATCCTCTTTAATATTCAGATTCAATCTCTTTAGGTTCATTTCATTGTAATTATGAAATTGACCGAGAAGTGAAACACGATATCACATGCCTCAAAAGGTCAATGGTCATTCGCACTATTGATCAAACAAATTCAAATATGTTAGCTGTCATCTTGTCCCCCTTTTCATCTAGAGACAGTGCTTTAGTAAAGATTGCAAAATTGTTCATTGTCCCTATGGGTTTGTTGGTTTGAAGCATTAGCGTTCATGTGCGTTTTACTGTATGGTCTCTCTCTCATTGGTCATCTGTGATGAAAAGAATCAAACTACTAGTTAGAACCGTTTCCTTTGTAGGATCCGAAGGGGTCGTCCATTGTCTGTGAAGCCACAACTTTTAACTTATTTAGTTGCAAGTGTACATTTTAACATCAGCCTTTGTAATGTGTTGGTCTGAGCCAAATAAAGCTGAAGGCAAAGAATAAAAGTCTGTTTACTTATATTCTATGATTGTAAATAAAGTGAAAATAGCATGTATGTTTGCCCAAACTGTTTACAGATTTTAATCTATGTTCTCACTATGTTTTGTTAAATGTCTGATGTTCTATTTGGAATAATTGCAACTGCATTTGGAATGATGTCTTGCTACAGTTTCTTAAGAGACGATTTTCTTAAAATTCCTGGTGTTTTACAGGGACTATTTGGAGGGTATGTCCTATTGAGAATTATGTATTCAAAAATATTTTTTTGTCATATGATGTGAATTATTTGAGGAAATATCCATTAGTATCCTTCACGATTGGTATCAAATTGTTATAATAATTTCAATAGCCTTCTTGTGACTTGTTTGGGAAAATACAATGTACCACTGAAGTGATTAAATTAGTCAACCATTTAAACCGAATCAACTTACTGAATGTGTTAGTAAGTTTCAAGGATGTGTTAACTGATTGTCAAATCAGAAAACGCAAAAGGTCCGTTTTCTTTCAGTCAATCATCGCAGTCTGGAGTTGCAAGCAGCCTGATCGTTTGCACACGGTTCGCAGTCACAAGGCTTCAGATAAATCCGCTTTTTTCCCCCACTGAGCACCAAATATTAAGACTTATACCTCCCTGTTTATTATAACAAGATGGGTTAAAATAGTGATGTGTGATACATGTACTCTTTTGATATATATAATCACATCTTAAAGTTACAAATTGCAATTTCAACGTTTACCACAGCAGCTTGGAAAAAATAGCCTATTTCAGAAAGTTCATTATGCAGCGTCACTTCATTCTTGTAAATGGTCGAGTTACTGTCATTGATTATGTCCCCAGCTGGAGTGATTCTAAAAGATACAATTGTCGTGATTTGTAGAAGAAAAACACATCATAGTTTGATCAGAAACTGTTTGCACACGGTTCGCAGTCACAAGGCTTCAAATAAGAGCGCTTTTGCACTGAGCCTCAAATATCAGCACTTTACCTCCTGGGGATGCTGCTAGCACTGTGACGAGACGAATTTAACGCCCGTATTTATTAAGCTATTTATTATTATCGTTATTTTAGCATTTTCAATAGGTATAACCCATATTTTAAACTGCTGATAAAGAGTTAAATCAAATTAAGTAAAACCATGGTCAAAAATAATCCGGAGAAGTTCCATTTGGTCACGGACAACGGCGCAAAAATGTACACCATCACGTCTGAAAGGTAAATGGATTGCTTTCTTTGTTTTCTTTCTTACTCTTAATTTATTAGTATTGTAAATGATTATTTTAACAAAATGTTGAGATTTTTTAAAACTGGAATTAGGTCGTGAGTGTTTTATAGGCTATATCCTAGCCTACGTAAGGGCACAGTGAAACTTTTTGTTTCATTTACTTTTTCTTCTTTTAATTAATTAGCATTGTGTCGGGTTTCAAAAGGGGCTCGTGGAGTGCAAATTTTGCACTACGCCCCAATCCGGGTTAGAAATGAAAACAGGATTACATTAGTGTGGGTCGTTCAGGGCAGCTGTGGTGCCGGAGTCGGTTCTTTTCAGGGAATTGGCCGAACGGGTTTGCAAAACGGTCTGAATCGATTTGCGATTCGGTTCGATTCGTGCGGACAGCTCTTTTCTAACTGAATCATTTGGAGCTATTTCTCAGTCAGTGAGACAGTATCCACATAGAGCAAACCGAGATTAGACTAAATGTATTTTACGATACCTCAACTGAAACAAAAGGTTACTTTTGGGTATCTTCTGCTCCTGACAAGTTTCTTGTCACTGTGTAAATTATCAATATTTACACATGTGAAGTGAAAATGTTTATGGCTATATTTATGGTTTATGTATTAGGCTATATAACACAGAACACAGACATTTAAAGAAAAAGTTCAAATAGCATAACAAGAATAGCTGTGGTTATTAAGGCCTATAGGCTATACAGTGGCGGCGTTTCACAAAACCATAGGGTATGGCAGTGGCGTAAATCGTTATATATATATAGGCCTGTATTTAATTATTTATTTCTTTATGTATTTATATAATTGTAGGCTGCAGGTGAATTGTCATGCATGCAACTACTTAGATAGCTAGATCTGCTGTTTGTTATTCAAAACCATGACTCCAAGAAATCGATAAGAGATCTTCATTTAATTATGTTAATGTTCTTTACTGTTCCAGTATGTCTTCAGGTGAGATGAAAGATGGTAAGCACTGTCACGATAATAGCCGTACCCTGGAGGACCGAGAGCGTGAAAAAAAGCTTGCCAAGAAACGCCTGTACATTGTTTCAGCAGTGTGTCTGGTCTTCATGGTGGGCGAGATCTTAGGTGTGTGACCCTTACTGCTCATTGGCTGCAAATTGTTTTTGCACACACAAAGGATTGTTGGTGAATATGTGCTGCTGTCTGGTCTGTGTACAGGTGGGTATTTTGCTGGAAGTCTGGCAGTGATGACAGATGCCGCCCACCTGCTTGTGGACCTCACCAGCTTCATCATCAGTTTGTGCTCGCTGTGGCTGTCATCCAGACCTGCTACAATCACTCTCAATTACGGCTGGCATCGAGCAGGTGAATCACTGGAATTGTAGAACAGTAAATTGTTGTCATGTGGCTCAAAATTCCTGGGTGTCTGCTACTTAAAAAAGTACACTATATACAGTATATGTATCTATACATAAAATAAAGAAAGAAAAAAGTAAATACACTACCATTCAAAAGTTTGGGATCAGTACTTAATACGTTTATTCAGCAACAAAACATTGATCAAAAGGGACAGTGAAACCTTTCTATTTCAAATAAATTGTTCTTTTCAACTTCTATTCTTTAAAAAATCCCTTACAAATAATGTATCATGGTTTCCACAAAAATATTATGCAGCACAACTGTTTTTAACATCGATAATAATAAGAAATGCTAGCACCAAATCAACATATTAGAATAATTCCCGAAGGATCATGTGACACTGAAAACTTGAGTAATGGCTGATGAAAATTCAGCATTGAAATCACAGGAATAAATGACTTTTTAATATATACTAAAATGCAAAATAGTTATTTTCGATTTTAATAACATTTGTTTTGCATTTTTGGTCAGCATAAGAGACCTGTTTCAGAAACATTAAAAAAATCTTATGGACCCCAAACTTTTGAACAGTAATGTATTTATACTTCTTAAATATTCCTTATGTATGCTAGTGAACTATATGAACTACAAGTGTAATTTCATCTACTATTGGGTGTTTTCAGAAATCTTGGGTGCTCTGCTGTCTGTTTTCACCATTTGGCTGGTGACTGGTGTGCTAGTGTATCTAGCAGTGGAACGGCTCATTGATGATGACTTCACTATTGAGGGCACAGTCATGCTGATCACCTCTGGCTGTGCTGTACTGGCCAACATCATGTAAGACAAAAACCTCATTGTGCAATGCAGTTCTATTACGGAGTATATCCGCACACTATTAATAGCCTCATATGGCCTTTGGCATTTTAACAAAATTGTTATTTGCTGTGAAAATGGCTTAAATTGACCTTCTATCTGTTCTTCTCTGTGCAGAATGGCCTTCACTCTGCATCAGTCGGATCATGGCCATAGTCACGGTGGTCTGAGCTACGGCCACAGTCACGACCATGGGAAGGAAAACAGCCACAGTCATTCTAACGCTAACCATTGTGACGTAGAGGAGAATGGGTCTGGTAATACACAACAAGTTAATGCTAGCGTCAGGGCAGCATTCGTCCATGTGATTGGAGACCTTCTACAGAGTGTCAGTGTGCTTGTCAGCGCGCTCATCATCTTTTTTAAGGTAAAAGATCCGAGATTATTAGCATTGGTGAGTCCTAACGGATGAACCAGCACTATTTAACATAAAAGTAACAATGAACAGTGGCTATCTATCTGTTTGTCATATAGACAAAGAGCAGAAAATAGGCAGTTAAGAGAGAATATTGGTGTTGTGTGAATGCATTTTATTGTGATAGTGTAGCAGATAATGATAATGCAATTTGATGGCATGATCCTAATGAACTGAATTATTTTCTTTTTATAGCCTGAATATAAAATTGCAGATCCCATCTGCACCTTCCTGTTTTCTCTATTTGTCCTGGGCACCACATTCACTATCATGAGGGACATAATTATTGTCCTAATGGAAGGTAAAGAAGTCTTACTTGTGATTTTTGCTGTTTCAGTTATGCTTCAGAAATGATAATTTAGGCAATTTAGGTGGTGACTTTAAAGAAGCTAATATGTTTACTTAAAGAACAAGTTAAAGCTGAGTAACTTACAGACATAATATTGACATTAGACATAGGCTAATATTGTTTGTCTAGGGTGTTTTCACACTTGGTCCTTTTCAGGGGTCTGAGCGTAGTTCGCGTGATTTTTGGCCCATATGTGAACTCTCCAAACGATCTCAGACCCCTCAGAAGCTAACCGAGCCGAGACCATCTCAGGAGGTGGTCTGAGTAGCCTACGGTTCGCTTTCGGCTAAAGGTACGGTTCGCTAAAAACGTGCATTGTGAACACAAATCGGCGCGGGCTCACTTGATTTTTCCATTTGCGAATTCCGATGTAGTTTGGTCATCAGATGTCTTCGTACAAATCAGCTGTTCATAATGGCTGCTTCTTCTGGCAGATTTCTACAAATTATTCGCTCACAACGTGCACTCGTTTATTTTAATTTCAACCGCTTCCGAACAGTGTAAGAGAGATGCGGCTGTGCGCCTGGCCAGTTTAAACTTTTGATACTGATATTGAACTGTCAAAAACACCCTAGTTCACATACACACATACATACATACATACACACTGTTGGTTTTGTCTCTATCAAATGTAAACTGGGGGGAAAAATCGCATGTGTATCAATGTACTGATCTGTGCATTAGGCTACAGTAGTTCTAGTCCAGCAGCCTAATATGAGAATCAGTAGAATCTATTATTCATACGATTAACATGCTGTTTTATTTTTTACATTTAATTATTCCATGTCTTACTTGAATGCTGCTTTTAAGGGTATCTATCTACTGTACCTGAAAAATTTAGAGCAGTTTATTATATTTTCTTTTATTTACTTTATCTCAATGTAATCAATGCCTTGTGCTATAAAATAAAAATGATCACATAAACAAGGAAAACAATTCAAAATAAATATTATTTACAAAGGTGTACAAAACTTATAATTCTGTATATTTTGTATTTTTGTATATTTTTAGAGGAATATTCCATGTTCAAAGATAAGCTTATTCAACAGTATTTGTATCAAAGTTGTTTTACAAAATAATAATACTAACAACAACAACAATAATCTTGTAAATCAAATAAATCTCTTGGCTAGTGAGGCACATTGTAAGTAAAATAGAAACAAATTTTGGAATCCATATAGGGTCAGCCATCATACACTGAACTGGACTAGATCCAAAAAGCAACAGTCTGAACACAAAGTCTGAGACACCATTACTGCTTAAGTGGACCAAAAAAGGATCTGAGTCCTCTTTCAGGAACAGGGACAGTGTGAACGTAAAGAAAACTGGGTACTTTTTCTCTTGGTCCCCCTTTTGGTCTACTTAAAGGGGTCTGGGTTCGGTTCTTTTAAAGAGTACTCAAGTGTGAAAACACCCGAAGTTACAGTACTTTGTCTATGTTAGTTCTGCCAATGAAAATAGTCCTAAACGAAGCTGAAAGAGAATCTGTTATTTCTGTGCATCTACTATAATGGTGTTTCGTTCCTGTGTTTTGGAGCGAATCGGTTAAGTGAATGGCTGACTCACTCATAATGACATCATTGTTTTTGTTCCTGAGTGAATCAGTGTCTTTGAACAAAACGGTTGAGTGAATTCAGTGACTCACTTATAATAACCGTCATATAATTTTGATTAGTTTAATTTCTACATTTCTGTTCACCACAAATTTGTCATACCTCCAATGTGCTATTTCATAGTTTTCATGAGTTACCTATTATTCTTAAATATAGAATAATAATGAATAAGTAGGTATGTCTTTGACTTTCGACTGGTAAATTAATTGAAGGAAAATCTTAAATGTAATATCTATAAATAAATATTAGCTGTTTTATTGGCCACTAGGCATTTTATGGACGATTTCATTTTTCATGTCCTCTGAATTTCTTATTCTCATTAAAACATTTCTTGGAACATGAGGATTTTAATTTCTCCTCCACAGGTACGCCAGCTGGTGTGAACTATAATGAGGTGAGAGAACGACTGCTCAGAGTCAAAGGTGTCAAAGCTGTGCACAACCTTCACATCTGGGCCCTGACAATGAACCAGGCTGTGCTCTCCGCTCATGTGGCTATAGGTAACACTTTTAACTCCATATAGAATCTGTGTGGCATTTATTAGCATATAGCCTATAGCAAAAACATATTTCTGAAATATTCACCCTAGACATGAGTTTATAACCATCTGTTCATTTTTAATTCCTCAGATGATACTGTAGAGCCACAGGCGGTGTTGAGAGAAATGACCCAGGCCTGTTTCACAACATACAGTTTCCATTCAGTAACCATTCAACTGGAGCATCAGGCGGACCAGAGGGCTGATTGCAGCCTCTGCCAAGACCCCACAAAGTGAAACATTCAGAGACTTTACATTAAAGAACGACCCTGGTCCAAAGGGACAAAAGATCAATGAAAGAGATCATTGAGGATTATTGTGGTGTTCATATTTTATAGCTGACATATTTTCACAAGTTTTAGTTTTTTGGACTTTGGACACCTCTGTCTCTGTTTTGTCACTAATTTGATTTAAAGGGATAGTCACCCAAAAAATGAAAATTCTGCCATTTACTCACCTGTATGTCATTCCAAACCAGTACTGCTTTTTCTTCTGTGTTTTTTGTCTGCTCATGAAAGTTGTTTGGACCCCATTGTTCTTCTTTTGTGTTCTGTAAAAGAAAGTAAGTCATATAGATTTGGAATGGTGTGAAGGTGAGTTTAAATACATGATTTTTGTTTTGGCTGGACTAACCCTTTAAGAATAATTTGTTGTGATAAATCTGCCAGGAAAATTACTTGTTGATATGTGCCAAATCTAATTCACTGAGCCAGGTAAGAATGTACTTTAGCAATGAAAATCATTTTGAATAGGCATATAATAACATTATTTGATCTGTCATTTTACATTTGTTCTTTCATGTTTATTTTTCGTCATCAGCAAACAAGACTACTGTGATGGTGTAATATACTGTACTTTTTGAACATCCCTTATTTAAAGGAATAATTACCACTAATCAACAGAATGTTGATATTATTGTTGATTTTAGGCTTTGTTTGCTTAGTTAGTTAGTTAGTCCTCTTCGCCTCTAGCAAGACATAGGGCAAGTAGACAAGTTTGTTTGCTTACTTTCGTTCTTATTTCTGTAACGCTGAGAGAACTTTTAATTTCTTTGATTACTACAGGACTGATAAAGTATTTTGTCCCATTTCCTATGTTATGTTTTTCACTCCTCAAGCAAACACTGAAAATTCATATACGGTAACACTTTACATTAAGATTCCATTATTTACAAGAGTTACTAACAATAAGCAGTACAGTGAAGTGTTTATTCATATTTGTTAAGTCTCCAAACTCATAATCCTACTACTGGTCCGCTTGATCCTGTTCCATCTCATCTCCTTCAAGTCATTTCTCCTGCAGTTGCACCTGCACTCACATCATTAACACATCCCCTCACACTGGTGTTTTTCCCTCAGCATTTAGACAGGCTCGTATAACTCCACTGTGATTGATGATCAGATGACTTTCTCAGACCACATTGCTAAAACTACCCGGTCCTGCAAATTAGCTTTATTCAACATCAAGAAGATCAGGCCCTTTCATTCGGAACATGCTTCACAACTTCTTGTTCAAGCTCTTGTTCTGTCCAGGCTGGACTATTGCAATGCTCTCTTGGCAGGTCTTCCAGCCAGTTCTATCAAACCTTTACAATTAATCCA